TAGCCATGTGGCTCCAAAAACTCAATGTAATATGCAAATATAAAGAAAAGGAGCCCTTGAGTCTTCTTGTCTCTAGGCCAAAAGTGACAAAAGTGACTTTCAGAGCTTGTGGGCAGATGGAGGAAGAGGTCAGAAAAACCAGGCAGAGACCCTGAGCTTGGCAAGTAAAGGGAGGAGCTGGCTGGAGAGAAAAGGAATGCAGAATGAATCCACCTGGGCCTTTTTAGGGATGGGCTCCTGTAGAAACAGACAAATGGCTTCACAGTGGCTTCTGCCAAAGGAGAGATAAGGAGAGAGATACAGGGACACAAGGTGCAGCAGGTTGGAGCTGGCAGAGTGCCATTAGCTCCAACACTGCAAGTAGTGCTGAATGTGCCCCTCACATCACAGGGCACAGGCTGAGGTAGAGGCCCAGAAAATCTATCAGGAAGAATGCACTCCACACCTGGTAGTCAAAGAAGATGAGGGGCAGCAGATGTTCAAGGACATCCTTGCTCGTTTTTGAAGGTCTGATGAATCCTCTTCATGGAGACACATGGGGGGAGGCAGCTCTTATAGGTGGGCACTTTAAAAACAAGCCACGGGCACTTTGAATGCATCGCTAAAGGCACTTGTGTAATCATTTGAAATAAAAACTGCTCAAATGAACTGGAAAGTGTTTTACTTGTATTTTCTCATATTCCAGAACCTTTTCTTTCCATGGTTCAAAAGTTTGTGTTGTCTAATTGCTGCTTTCCATTTGTGAATGAATCAACGTAAAATAAAATTAAGTGCCAAATTAATCTACCCATAGTTTTAGGCATTAATTACCTTCTCAAGCCCAGATAGTGACGTGGCATTCAGTTTTTGACACGGGAGCTTTGGCTCAGGAAGTACAGAGTGCCTTGGATCTCTAGGACCCACAGTTTACTGAGCAAAAAGGGTCTGATTTTAGGCAAATGAAACACATTTCAAAGGTGTACTTACAGTGCACTTACAGACTAAACAAGTCACTGGAGCAGAAATTTACTGTATCATTTTGAGGCATGTTCCCGTAGTTGTCCCATGATAAATTAACAATGTACACTTCCTTTATGTATAACAGGGTTACCCTGGGTGTGGTAAATGTGATCGCGCTTAGGGCAGAGGCTGAGAAATTACATGCACTGTTTTTCTGAAACTGTAGCAATGGATAGGCTCTGTTACAAATCCCCCAGGTTTCTAAGATATAATTACAGGACCCTGAGTTTCTGGTGGAAGTAAGAACCATAACTTGATCAAGTTACAATTTTAAAGACTCTGGGGACCTACAGCTGGGTACCTGGAGGAAGAAATATATCTCCAGGAGACCATGAAAGGTTTAGAGTTGGAGGTCCTAGAACCTTTGACCCCCCTCCTTTTTGAGAGTCGACATTATCAGAATATTCTAGAAGGAAGTAAATAACTATGACCCAGCACTGCTGAATGCAAAGAAAACATTCACTTCTCCCTAGGAGCATTCTACCAGGAAAAAGGAGACTTGGGATACCATCCAAGGTGGACAGCTGGTTCTGGCTGTCAGACCCTTTGGACCCAGCCTCCTGAAGCAAAATGCCTTAGTGCATACCTGGGCATCCAAAGTTGCAGTATTTCTGCTGCATGCACAGAATTACCATCACAGCCACAGCTACTAAGCCCCCAAGCTTACACAAGGCTATTTTCAATAGGGACAGGATGTAAGAGCAGCAAATGCTGCCAGGCAGGTGGGCTGCTGTGCAGCCTCAGGCTCCCTGTGATCCTTCAATGCAAGCCGGAGCTGAATGCTCAAGAGAGGATGCTAGCTAGACCTCTTGGCAGTGAGCAGAGCCGAGGCACCTGAGTGATTAATTAGAAAGGTAAGAGAGATAGGAAGGAATCTGCGGCATCCTGAGTTGGTGCTCAAGTGCAGCGCTTAATCTGAATGTCAGAGTTTGGGGGAAAGTAGGCAAGGTCTAAATTTAAATTTGCACGAGGATTAAAGGCCTGGCTTCCTTTTAGCCCTAGTCAGTACTGAGAACCTTCCAGACAGTAAGGAAAGCAACCAGAGGGAAGGTGGCTGGGGAGCCGCCGTGCTCCAGGGGAGGAGTGCAAAGCTTTTGGATTGCATCACAGGCTTCTAATAACACCTTGGAGTATGCTTTGCTGAACACAAGCTTGGAGGCCCAAACAGTCAAGCTCGTTCCTTCCCCAATCACCCCAAGAGGAAAGGAGCCTGTCAGCTTCACTAAAAGGGAAGAAGGAAAAGGGAAAACAAAGGCAGAAAGAAAAAAGCTCAAGTTGTTTCATATCTGTTTGAAGGCACAAGGCAGAAGAGGCACCATGGGACCCTGGGGAAGGAAACCTGAAGGCCATGGTAGGAAAACATTACTTTCAGGGAAGTTTTAATCAGCTTGAGCAGTGCTTTGATAGGCACGGGTGTTAAGACAGAAACAGCTCTTTTGAAAGTTTGAGCTTTCTGAGGAGTGCTGTTTAACATGCAGTGCTTCCTCTCATCATCCCTTCCTGTTGGGGATATTCATATGAGCCCGTAAATTTTCACAGCAGAGCTGGGATTGAGGCCCACAAAACCTCAGGCTCCAGCCACCACCAGCTGCTGCCCTGGGTAGTTGTACTATGGCCTCCTGAAGATGGATTGCTAAGGGATGGAATAAAAGGCATAAAATTAAAGACAAGATTAATAAAATCTGATGAAAGAAAATACCACTAGCCAACCTAGCAGCTCAAATTACATTTACCACATTGGACAGGGAGGGGGTAATCATGAGTTATAAGTCCAGGCTCCGCAAAGAAATTACGGGCTAAATAACTTAACGAGTAACACCAGGGGAAGTTCCTGATTCACCTTCCTAGGAAAGACTCAAGACAGGGTAGAAAACCCATCAATCACATTGAGATAAATTTCCCTTGGAAGGGTTCCAGGATAAGCCTAGCTGTGGATTTTCAAATAGCCTCTGAGTTCCACCCATGGCAGTAATGGCTGTAGCATAAACATAGCCTCCGGATGCCACTGGGTCTAAGGAGCCCCCAACCCACTGCACGGTGGCTACTGTCTAATTCATTCTGGCCTTGGTAGGGATGGGATTAGCTAAGGACTGTCTTGGGTCTCTTGTCCATTTCTGTCCTATCAGCTGAGCCTATTCCCAGATATGAGGACATCTCCCATAGTTCCCCAAACCTGCTCTTGTATCAGGTGGGTCTAAGCCCCCAGACAGCAGCCAAACCATCCTATAATATACATGTTCCTCTTGACATCCTCCAGAGCCTTCAAAGTTCCTGACTCCCAGTTACTCCCCCCAGGTAAACAAGAATGTAGTTTACTGTAAGGAATTCACATCAATCACCTAAGGATTCTATCTGTAGCAGAGCATGGGGACAGGCAGAACACAAATTCTCCACTCAGGATGGGCTTTTGGCCCAGGTAGGGGAGGGTCACCAGCCTTCTCTGGAAGTCATGTGAGGAGAGAAGGACTCAACTCCTTTCCCACCTCTGGGCCAGCCACTGCTCAGTGGATGGAGGCAGATCTACTTCTTCACTTCTCCCCTGTTCAGCCTTCCTTCCTGAGTAGGACCCAGAGCCTAGGCCTCCTTCCTTGGCCCCAGCAGTGGAGAGGATGAGGTCTTAAGGAAGAACTATCTGGCTTTCAGTAAAATACCCTAGAAATCTAGCCCCGTTCACAGATGGGGAAAGCTTTCTGCTCAAAGGTGAAAGGAGTCTCCAGAATCTCTAAGTCCTCTTACCATCTCCATTCTGTGTTTTGATCCCTCAGCTGCACTGCTTCCCAGGTTCCTGGTGTGAGGCCCACCTCATCCTCAGGACCTTCTAGTATATCTATCTCTGCTAAGAAAACTCCAATGGACCAGTGTCTAGAAAGTAGGAAAGAGTGACTCCTCCTAGTATCCAAGTGTCCCTGTGATGCTTGGTCATCCAAGTCCCTCCTTGGACAACAGATCAACTGTTTTCAACCAACCAACCAACCAACCAACCAACCAACCAACCAACAAACCAACCCCCCAACCAACCAATCAACCAACCAACCAACCAACCAACCAACCAACCAACCAATCAGCCAGCCAGCCAGCCAGCCAGAAACAACAACAAAAACAGGCAGAGGGGCATTACTCTTGGAAAAATCTGTAACAAAAGGGCTGGGGAGAAAGCTTAGTCAGTAAAGTGCTTGCCCTACAAACACAAGGACTTGAGTTCGATTCCCAGAACACACATGAAAAAGTCATGAATGGTGGTGTGTGCTTGTAAACCCAGCACTGCAGAGACAGAAATAGGCAGGTCCCCGAGGCTCAGCAGGAGCCTATGTAGCTGAATCAGTGAGTTGCAGGTAAAAAGTGAGAGACCCTGTCTCAGAAACCAAAGTGGACAGTGTCCTGAGGAACACCTGAAGCTGGCCACTGGCCTCCACACACCTGTGCACACATATATACATGCACCCATGTACACATACACACACACACACACACGCACACACAATCTTCAACATGAGAAGATATATGAGGGTTTCCACTTTCTTTGGTCACTATTAGAGCTGGTTTAAAGAATGGGGCTGCATTCGACCAAAATAAGACTAACCAGAATTAACATATCAGACATTTTATTTTTATTTTTTCCTGATCTCTAGTCTTTAGAAACAATCAAGCACCTAGTTATAAAATCACTACTTGTCAGCTGGGGAGTGGGCACATGCCTACACACTCACCTCACTCAGGTGCCCCCCTCACCTGAGAGAGCTCAGAATATGCAGTGGAATTTCCCCCTTTTTGTCTCAAAGCATTTTCTAGTTAAAGACAAAATGCCCCTAGTAAGAGCGAGAACAGCTGTGAAAAGCCAAGTTGCAGATGCAGAGGTCAGATTCTCACCAATCCACTCGGAGGGCAGGCCTGGCCTTGCTCTCTGCCCGGGGAGCAGCACAGAAACCCCGTGTCTGGCAGCTAGAGCGGCAGGCCAAGGCTTCCCCTGAAGCTCATTAATCACCTGCTGCCCCTGTGCTTACCTACAGATGTAATTCGTCTTGCAGGAGTCCTGCAAATTCAAACAGTTGGGTTTCTCCCGCTCTTCGTAGGAGCACACAGGCACGATGGTCAGGCGCCGCCGCTCTGTGCAGGCAATGTCCCTGCAGGAGCAGAAGAGCATCCCATAGCTGTGCTTGGCTGGGACCTTGTCAAAGAACTGCCTGAGGGCCTTGTGGCACTTGCGGCGGTTGCAGACTTCGTTGGACATGCTGGTGGTGCACGGGGTGATGTAGGCAGACCTGTACTTCTTGCAGGTGTCATCAAGGTTGCAGGCCTTGGCCGCATCCAGGCAGTTATTCCCTTTCGAAATGTGCTCCACTGCAAAGCAGAGAAAGGTAGGCGTGATCACAGGGCCCACTCCTGACTGCTCCCACCAGCTCTTGTACACCACGATCTCCACATTCAGCCCACCATGCCACACTTCTAGAACTCAAGGAATTTTGAAGCTAATAACATAATGATCCATGACAAAGACAAACTGTTGGGGATGCAAAGGCCAGGAGTCCACAGTAGTGCAAGTTCCTGGTATTTCCTTAGATGTCTAAGCAGGAGCTATGGAGCAAGGCCACGGGAACTCAGGCACCTGCCCAGCTTCCAGCAAACAAGGCAACGAGAGACTGTTTCCAGCTCCTACTCGGGAAACTGAAATTAGGATCAAAGAAAACAGCAACAAATTACATTCTTGTTCATGATACAGTATATAAAATGATATGCTGAATGCAAGTATAATTGCCATGCAATCCTCCAGGAATATAATTATGTAATAAATGCATATAGTACATGCTAATTACTATATGATTACAGAGTAATTACATGGTTATTTGAGCCCAGAAGACAAAATATTATGCCAGCCTCTGTAAACAGGAAGAAGCAACTGTGGCAAAGCTGTGTTTAAGTTTCAGCTCACAGGCCATTGGAAGAAAACCAGAATAAATCACATAAAAATTTGCAAACCTCAATTACCACTTAACTCACCACATACAAAATGTCGGCTCTGTGAGCACTCAAGTTCCCTATTAGGAAAATGCAGCTAGGATTTTGGATTAAGTTTCACTGGGCTTACACACCATGGGCTTTAGAACTATCACAGAGCATATGCTGCCTTCCGCTGCCTGGGACACGAGTGCCACCCACTGTGGGACCACTTCTGTATGGTCTGCATGAGATCGGTGGGGAGGCAGGGCCCATTGGTGTGCATTCTGGCCTGGGCCACAGGCAATGGGGAAAATTTACAAGAAAATAGATGGGATGCAGTGTGTGTGGGGTTAAACTCAGAATTCATGTTTTAATTTCATTTCTGCTGCTGTGATATACATCCTGACAAAAAGTCAGTGCAGGGAAGGAAGGGGTTTATTTGGCTTACAATTCCAGGTTACACTTCATCATCACGAGGAGTCCAGACAAGAATTGAAGCAGCTAGTCACATAACACCCAGTCAATAGCAGAAAAAATGCATGCATGCAGCCTGTTTCCTGCTTGCAAGCTTTCTTCTCTCTCTCATATACTCAGAGTCCCCCTTCTTAGGGAATCATGTTGCCCACAGTGGGCTGGGTCTTCCCGCATCAACTGAAAATCAAGACAGTCTCCCAGACGTGTCCACAGACTGACCTAGTAAAGATAATTACTCTACTAAGACTCTTTGGAGAGATGGCTCAGTGGTTAAGAGCCACTGACTGCTCTTGGAGAGGACCTGGGTTGGGTTCCCAGCACCCACATGATGGCTAACAACTGCCTATAACTCCATTTTCAGGGGATCAGACATCCTCTTGTGGCCTCCATGGGTATGGTATGACATAGGTACCCTTACATACATGCATACAAAACACTCATACACACAAATTAAAAATGAAATACACAAAAATTCAATACAAACAAAAATTAAATTAATAAAAAGTAAAAAAATTCTCAAAGACCATTCTTAGGTAATTCTTGTTTGTGGAAAGTTGACATTTATTTTATTTTAGATTTTTGTTTTGCTTTGTTATGAGACAGGGTCTCCCTGTAGCCACAGCTGGCCTAGAACTCACTATGTAGACCAGGTTGTCCTCGATCTCATAGAGATCCTCCTGCCTCTGACTCCCAAATGCTGGAATTAAAGGCCTGTGCCACCACTTTCGGTGGAAAGTTGACATTTAAAATTAATCATTGTCACCCTCTTAGCAGTAGGCAGTGCATCAGTCTCATAAAACTAGTCATCACAACCCATATAAAGCTGTTTCTCTGGAGAAAGAGAAGCAATGGAAACCTTCCGTTGCCAACTAATAAGGTGGCCCACATCAGATGATAAGGAGGTAAGCCAATGGCTACCAGAGAGTGCAGAGGGGCAACAGACTAGCACCTCAGTCCCGTGGGATTAAACATCCCAACAAATTTCCATTTGGGCCTCAGTCCTGGTGTATTCTATGCTTCTTCTCCTTCCTTAGTATGTTCCCTCAGCTGACTGGAACACTTTGGGAAATTATAAGAGCTTGAGAACTGATCAGAGAGGAGAGAATGTGAGTGGACTGGATGGGGTTGAAAGATAGGGCAGCGTATTTGCTGGGTATTTACAGGGTACATGAAATATCATTCTGCCTTAAGAAATAAAGAAATCTTGCCACGCACAATAATGCAAATGAACCTTGAGGATACTAGGTTAAGTGGAATAAGCCAGTATCAGAAGGAAAACACAGTATTATTCTAATTACATGAGAATCTAAAATACTCAACACACACAGAAGGAGAAGGCTGCTGGGTTGAGAGGAGAGAACAGAAGGAATTGCCATTCAAAAGGAAAACAGTTTCAAGTAGAGTTATGTTCTAGAAATTTGCCATTTAAGAATCTGAATGTAGTTATTGATACTGTATTAGAACCGCAAAATTTTGCTAGGGGTCTGACAAAATGACTCAGCAGGTAAGAGTGCTTGCACCAAAACTGATGACCTGAGTTCGATCCCTAGGACCCATATGGTAGAAGGAGAGAACTGACTCCGCAAAACTGTCCTCTGACCTCCACATTATGGCATATTTTGGCATGTGCACATGTGATAACAACCACCCCACACATAATAAATAAAATGTTAATACATTCTTTTCATTGCTAGGAAGGCAGGTTACATGTTAAATATTCTCATTACAACTTCAAAAATAACTTTATACAAAACAAAAACATAAAAGGCATACAAAGTAAACCTTCCAACATTTCAAGGAATGAAAGCGTCCTGGTTCTATGGACAAACAAAAGTGCCTTGCTTTAAGAACCACCTCCCCCACTCCCCACACTGGAAACTACATTACCCTGGCACCATGAGCTATGAGTTACTACGCCCCAGGTTCAGGTTTCTGCCTGTGACATCTGAGTCCTGCAAGCTCAATGTGGAAGGCAGTAAGCAAGACCTCAAGCCTTGCCCAATGAACAATGCAGGCCGCCAACACCTGCACAAGACAGCCATGCTATGTCAGCACTCCTGGTGCTCTCTCCCCATCCTGCTCCTCCCAAGCCTTCCTCTCTGTCCACACTAAGGCTCCTTGATACTCCAGGAAGGAAATAGCCACCTACTTTGTTTCTAAACATAGACATCATGGCCTCTGGGCCTGGGTAACACTTGCAGCTTTCTCTCTCTCTCTCTCTCTCTCTCTCTCTCTCTCTCTCTCTCTCTCTCTCTCTCAACATGGTTTCGTGTATTCCAAGCTGGCCTCACAATCCATTATGTAGCCGAGGATGACCTTGAACTTCTGATCCTCTCACCTCTACCTCTGGAATTTTGGGATCACAGGCATGCATAACCACAGCAAGTTTATGTGATGCTGGGGATAGTACTACGGGTCATGCATGCTAGGTAAACACTCTACTGATTGAGCTATACATCTTCAGTGTTCTTGAGACTTCTAATGTTGGGCTATTGGACCCAAGGACAGTGATTTATATTTTTACAGGTCTACAGTTCTCTAGATTTCTAAACTAAGCATTATTATTATTATTATTATTATTAATATTATTATTATTTAGATAAGGTCTCCCCGTAAGCACAGCTGGCCTGGAACTCATTATGTAGACCAGGCTGGCCTCAATCTCACAGAGATCCACTTGCCTCTGCTTCCTGAGTACTGGGATTAAAGGTGTGTGCCACCATGCCTGGCTTAAACTAATCATTTTTGATGATCACTGAAAAGAAATTGATAAAACTATATTCAGTATCATTTGCATTCGGCCCATCAAGCTGAATGTTGGTTAGTACATACATGATTTCCTACCGCATTTATGTCTTCATTGGTGTCTAATAAAGGAGTCTTTCTAATCTCTAGATAAAAAGAAAACAGACACACAGAGGTGTGTTCACATATAAGGATGCAGCCAGTAATGTTCGGCCAAGCAATGCTTGCGAGCTCAAGTGGAGAAAAATGGCAGAGAAAGATGTCACCACATGGCATGCAGTGTCGTAGGCCTGCCAAACTCAAATGAACCCATGCTGTCACCCAGTGCTATTTTCAGATGGTAAGCACTAACTTTGTTTCAGCAAAACAATGGAGGTTAAATGGAATGATATTAGCTTGTATTCCATTGCTTTCAAAGTTTGGGTCATTATTGTTCCATTTGTGTTGCTTTTATAGTTGTGTAAAAAAGAGTTCTTTTTGTTTATAAATCTAAAATAAAGTTATAATAAAATAATACAAGTCAACATATAACATCCAGGACTTTTCTTTTTCTCTGGAAGTAATCCATACAGTAACACACAAGCTTGAGAAACAGTTCGCCTGACATAATACCTTTTCTGTCACCGTAACACTGTCGCCTTTTGAAAGTTGTTAAAATTATCTGAGCTATTACTTTTTTCTTTGTGTTTATATGTATGTGCTATACATGCCTGCATGTGCGTACATGTATAAATAAAAAATGTGAGTGCCTGCATGTGTATGTGAAGCCAGAGGTCAACATACAGTATCTTCCTCAGTCAATCTCTGCCTTATTTTTTGAGTCAGGCTTTCTCAGTGAATCTGGAGCTCTCTTATTTGGCTAGATTGGCTGGTCAGAGAACTCCAGAGATCTGCCTGTCTCCACTAGTCACTAGTGTTGAGATTACAGGCAGGCGTTGCCATGCCTGGCTTTTACATGTGGGTGCTGAATTTCTGAACTTGGGTCCTCATGCCTGCAGAGCAAACACTTTACTGACTCAGTCATCTCCTGGTCTGTTTTTCTTCTTAATGTTACAAGAAATGAAAAATGGTATTTTAAAGGAAAAGCATTGTACAATGTGGAAACTACAAAGCATTGTTCATCTGAACCCACTGCTAACTTTGTTTGGCAGTGGGTCTGTGTTTCTGCTGATTCTGTTTTCATG